TTTGGGTGGTTCTGATGAGAAAGGAAGGGGCTTATAGCCCCCCAGAGTCCGGTGACAGGCTGGGGTAATGGGAGTCCTCCAGGGGCGTGTGTGGGCATGCAGTTTATCATTAGGAAAATGGGTGTTCCTCTTCTTCTTTTTTTAAAAAATAAATTTAAGGAGGCTCGGCACCCATAGCATAGTGGTTACAGTGCTGGCCACATGCATGCACTGAGGGGGTGGGTTTGAACCCGGCCCAAGCCTGCTAAACAATGACAACTGCAACAACAAAAAAATAGCTGGGCATTGTGGCGGGTGCCTATAGTTCCAGCTACTTGGGAGGCTGCGGCGAGAGAATACCTTAAGCCCAAGAGTTGGAGGTTGCTATGAGCTGTGACGCCATGGCATTGTACCGAGGGTGACGTAGTGAGACTCTGTCTCGAGAAAAAATAATACTAATTTAAGAAGGTTTGTTCTGAGCTGAATTTGAGGACCATACCCTGGAGCCACACCCTAGGAGTCTTGATCACGTGAACTCAAGGTGGGGGGGGGTGACAGTTTGGTTCTATACATTTTAGGGATTACAGGTGAGATTGTAAATCAACACGTGGAAAACAGAGATTGATTTGGCCCAAAAAGGTGGGGCATCTGGCAGGGGTGCTGCTTACAGATGATAGGTGGGTTGAAAGACTCTTTAGCTGATAATTGTCTGAAAGAGGCTCTGTCTAAAAGCCCAAGAGTCAGTGAAAACAGAAAAAGGGTCTGTTAATCAGACACAAAGTACTGGACAGACTCCAGTGGTTGGTTGTGAACACTGAGGACCTGCAGGCGGGTCTGGCACAGCCAGAGGCCTGTTAGTGGGTAGCAGAGGACGTCTGTGAGAAGGGGTGGGGCAGGTGTTCTTATTAACCTGCCCCTGTGACTGGGGCTGTTTCCTGGATCCAGCTTCTTCTCTCCAGCCTGAATAGAACTGAGAGATTCCAAGAGACTGTTTGGGTCTGGGGCATCCGGCTGGAAGTCCGGTCTGTACTCTGCTTCTCCGTTTCGCTGACTCCACCTTGAACGACAAAGAGTATCGGAGTTTAGGGATTGGGACCCTCTGCCTTTGGGCTGAGCCAGCCCACCTGTTACCATGATTGTAAGTAGAACTCTAACTGCTAACGGTTAGTACCAGCACAGTTATCTAAGAAATAAAGCAGTTCTGCCAGGAAATAAACCTAGTTCTCTAATCAGCGCCTTTGACTGAGGATAAATGTAAATATTCCAAAAGTTTTTAAATTAAAAACACGCAGGCACTCACGCACAGCCATCAATTATCTTGGGTAGTGGTACTGGTAGATGGAATTTGGAGAATGAAGTGTGGATAATATTTTAAATTCATTGCCCACAAATTTAAAATCTCATTATTTAGAGTAAGAAATAACGATACTCATAGCGCCTCCTAACCTCTTGGTGCCTTAGAGATGGACTACTTTGGTCTATTACAAAATTTGGTTTAATAAAAAGGTTTAGTTTATTCAGGCAATCAATACTTAAAATTTTACCAAGTAAATTTATGTGTAACTTTAAAATTTTGTTACTGAAGGAGCTAAACTTTGCTGCCTGGTGAGAACTCCGACCTCTTTCACACCAAGGAGGAGAGCAAGGAATCTGATTGTGTTTTTCCTACTCAGCGTCCTCCGTGGGGTCTGGACAGAGCACAGGGAACACGAGAGGAGCCTCTATCCCTGCTGCACCCTGCAAAGCAGCTGAATCAATGCCTGCTGAGCAGAACCAGGTGTGGGAAGGACCAGGCTCTGACTTGGCAGTGACAGGAGGGTCCTCTTCCTGTGAGACCTAATTTCTCATAGCCTTTGCTTCCAGAAAAACTTTCCTGAATTTTCACATTTGTGACTTTTTTAGATTTTTTCCCCATTTTTATTCATCTACTCAACAAATGTTTATTGCTTCCCTACCATAATGGCTCCAAGAGCAGCGGGTGGGAAGATTGGATCTAGGTAAGAGTTATGGCCAGTTAGGGGCTGGCTTTGGGGGAACCTTGTCCCCGATGCCCTGGGTCTCCTGCTTTGGACCTCTGAGTAGGTGGGTCTTTTTTTTATATTGGCTTTGAAGAAATCTTTTTTTTTTTTTTAAATTATTGTTCTAGGTTAATTTGAGAGTACAGAGAATTTGGTTATGACGTTTGCATTTGTTAGGTAGAATCCCTGTTCTCATTGTGTCCCGCACCCAGAGGCGTGCCATACACCCTAACATGGTGCCCATTAAGTGGGGGCACACCCATCCCTCCCTCCTCCCCCTCCCCACTCCCTGGTTCCCCTGCCCCCCACCTTGAATTGATTTGAGTTTTGCTCCCGTGCAAACGTGTATTAGCTAGTCTGCTGGCTTCATATTAGAATTGAGTACATTGGATTCTTGCTTCTCCATTCTCGTGATGCTTTACTAAGAAGAATGTGTTTCAACGCCACCAGGTTAATACAAAAGATGTCACAATCTTTTTTAATGGCCTAGTAGTATTCCATGGTCTACATATACCACAGCTTGTCAATCCATTCCTGGGTTGGGGGAGATTTAGGCTGTTTCCACATCTTGGTGATTGTGAATTGAGCTGTGATAAACAGTCTGGTGCAAATGTCCTGATGATAACGTGATTTTTTTTTTCTTCTGAATATATGCCTAGTAATGGGACTGCAGGATCTAATGGGAGGTCTAATTTGAGTTCTTCGAGGGTTCTCCATACTTCCTTGGGAAGGTGGGCACTGGAGGAAATGTACCCAGCATCAAGGCCAAGAGAGCCGTGTGTCCCTAAGACCCGGTGGGTGCATCAAACTCCTGAGGGATGTTTGTTTTGAATGGATGAATGTTGAAGAAATGAATGGAGCGTGTCCAGTATGGGTCACTCGGGGAGGACAGTGTGCATGGAGTGCACTGTCTGTTACATTAATAGAAGGAAAAAAGAAAAAGAAAAATTTAAGAAAATCAATTAAGTGATTTGAGGACTGTAGGAGACACCTGAAGAGAAACACCTTGGTAATAAGGGAACGGGGAAGGGATTGGTCTTGTTAAAAAGCACGAGTGCACACGAGCCCATACATCACTGCTCGGCAGGCTCCACGCCTGTGGTGTACATAACCACCACCGGAGAAGTTGGTCGGCTCCTACTAAGACTGACTGCTGGACCTTTGAGGCGCTCCAGCTCCTCCTATGGGGAGCCTTACCTGAGACAACGGGCTCCTCAGCACTTACGGGGAGCCACACCCTGAGTGAGCTTGTACATCAGACCACGTCTGGCGGTTTCATGGGCCAGGGCTGGCAACCTAGCGTCCCAGCTCCAACAGGGGACATAATATTGGGAGAAGGAAGTGGGTAGCTGCCTTCGCCTAAATCTCGGAGTTGGAGGGAAAGCCCTAGACCAGTCCTCTACAGAACCCCCAGGGTCCAGCCACAGGTTTCTGACTCTTTGGGCTGTAGTCATAAAATAGAAGGATGTTTGTAGGGCTGAAACACACCACCATGCAGTCCCAAGGTGCCACACCTGCCGTCTCCAGGAGAACCAGAGGAGATGCAGGCGCGAGTCCTGGCTCCTCTTGGTCACAGCAGGTGATCCTGGTGAGCCCTGGGCTTCCCCACTTCCGTGTTTCTCATCTGTACAGTGAAGGTCCAGCTCCTGCTTATCTGGGAAATCTCTATGTAAAGGGCTCAGCTCAGGTTTGCAGCAGCAAGGGCTGCAGAGTGGATTTGTAGACAGCAAGACTTTCTCCTAGAGTTTTCTCTCCTCTGCTGTTCAGCTGTGACACTTTATAACCGTCTCACTCTCCTATTGGCTCCTTCCCAGGCACTCCCCTGTCGGTCTCACCCCCCAAAAGGAACAACACCTGAGTATGTTTAGCCATCCCAGGAGGGGGGCCACCCCCAGTGCTGGACCGTAGGTGTCTGGGAATAGAGTGCAGCCTGGTTTAATTCACTAGTCAACGTACCTTGTAATCTCCTAGAAAGTTCAGTGTTCTCCAGCTTCAGATTTTCCCATCTTTCTGGAGGGGAGGAGGAAGAACACCCAAACTAACACCTACTCACATATCATGTCCCCCGTTCAGGGCCGGCTTCTCGTGGCCACAGGTGTTTGCCAGGCTGTGTTTATCTGAGACGCGGGATGTGCACGCCAACTCCTGGGCGCTGCTTCCTCCCCCCAGCTGTCTGTCCACCTGTCACTCCTCACAACTCAATCTTGTCGTAATTCCTTCCCTCCTTCAAGCTGGGAGACCCTCTGGATGGAATGATCACTAGCTCCCTCCTGCCGCCAAGCCAGCTTCCGATTTACAGCCACTACCACAGTTTCTCTGAATGCAAAGGATTCCTCAGGATACGGTAGAGGAGAAGGAGGGAAGGAAGAATCTTGACTCAAGGTGTTAAGATGGTTCTCCTGAGGACCACTCCTCACTGAGCAGTCCCTGGGGTCTGAGAGACCCCCAGTCCACTCTGGTGTCCAGAGGAAGGCGGACTGTCCTTCTCCACTCCCCGACTCCCCCTTCCCCGACTACATCCTCCATCCATTCTCACCCTTGAGTGAACTCAGGATCTAGTTCAAGTTTCTAGTTTTAAGAAATAGGAAAGTTTATTTACTGTAGTACTGCTGTGCATTAAATCAACCCAAACACAATATATAATTTGGCACAAGCTCTGCTTAGAGCATAAAGTGTATACAATTAAATCTTGATAGAGATACCTTATTTTATTTCAGATTAATACGAGGATACACATGTTTAGGTTAAATTGGTTTCAATTCTGTGGTAAAGTTCAAGTTGTAGTTGAGCCCTTCACCCAGGGGGTGTGCTGGACACCCCCACCTTGTGCACATTAGGGGATTAGACCCCACCAATCACTCTCCCTCCTGCCCTCCCTCCCTCCCTCTCTCCTTCCCGCCACCTTGCTAGACTATATTTGTGTTCTGTGTTAATGTGGCCATGCAGTTGTTTATCTACTGGTCTCATGTTAGTATTGAGTACGCTGGATTTTTTTTCATTTTTAGAAATATGGAACACGTCATAAATTTGTGTCTCATCCTTACTCAGGGGCCATGCTAACCTTCTCCGTATTGTTCCATTTTCAGTATATGTGCTGCCCATGTGGGCATGCTTTTTTTTTTTTTTAATTTACTTTCTGGTGATACCTTTTAGAAAACAGCTGGGGAGGCTTACTATGAATCGAGATTCACAGGCTCAGGGTCCGGGAGTTTGGAGCCACACTCCAGGGCAGGTTTGCATGAATCCAAGAGGGAGGGCAGGATGACCCAGTGGGTCCTTAGCACCTCAGACAGATGACATCTTCGGCTGTGTCATCATCCCTGGGAAATCCAGAAACCAGGACTGCCACTTTTGTGCTAAGATCTGCCTTTCACCTGTTTAAATTACAATACCAAATAATTATGTATGTGTAAAAACTGTCAAAAGTATACTTAGATCGTATCTGTGCCGTGTGCTAGAATGACTTTTCATTATGACCTATCTGTACATCCTTTGAACCATATATCTCAGCCTGGAAATGTAGACATGTTTTTGTTTTTGCTCTGTGTGTTAGGTCAGGAGACATCTGCACCACATATGATTGGAAAGGTGAAGGTGACATGATTTACTTAAGTCGGGCAATTTCTCCATCAAAGCATGGGGGCCTCAACTCATCAAGACCTCCGTTAGCAGGTGAACTACACCATCACCCAACATTCGTCATATTAGGTGATTTGAGAGAAAGAACAATTATAAAAATGAATGTCATTCTCTGTCGAAGAAAAAAAAATCCAGGTTTTGCAGCAGGGGGTGGTTAATTTTCCACAGATAAAAACAGGTTTCACAGCAATTCTGCCGCTATACCGTTCCACAATTAAAACATAAGAAGAAAAGGTTCCACTGCCAAAGCAGACAGTTGTGGGAATTGGTTGTTTGGGGATGGGGGAGCCGCTTCCCTCCAGCATCAGAGGTTATTTAGCTTCCCATAGGAACAGCTCTGTTGCCATAAATGGCGACGGTTGCCCCCAGCCCCCGCCCTCCCCCCTGTTTCTGAGCTGCTTTCAATTAGCAAGGATTATTAAACTGGAAACATTTTAAACTGCTGCTGAAGCTGCTTTCCAGCCTTACGAGCTGAGCTAGAGGCTTCACAATAAAAGCTGATTGATGAGTGAAGAATGCACTTGGAGCAACTGATGCCCGGTGTCATCCTCACGCTCTTCTCAGCCTCTCATTTCCGACTCCCTCTCCAGTGAGTTGTGCATTTTCATGGGGAGTTTCACTTTGGCTTCTCTCCCCAGCACCTCCTGGGGCCGGGAGGCTCTCAACTTCCATCCCAACCACCTGACCTCCACCGGTGCTAGCTTCACGCCCCGTCTCCCTCTCCCTGGACCCCGAGAAAGGATACCCCACAGGCCAGCGTGGGTGGATTCTAGAGACAAGGGAGGCTGCTGGATCCCTGCATCACTGGGGATGATCATAATCCCTTTTTCTTTGCTGTTTAATTGTCAGAACGTTAACACAACAGCAACATATAACACGTCTTCCAATAATGCAGACTGAGGCGCATGGATGTGGTGGAGGCAGGGATCCATTTTGTTGCAGTTTCCAGAATAAAGGCCTTGACCTTGAAGTGTTACAGGCAGTCCCCCCGCCCTCAGGTTCCAAAAGAGATTAGGCTCTGTAAGTTTGATCCTAAGCTGAATTTGCTTGTGAGCTGGAGCAGGTACATTCACCTATGACCCGTAATAGACCCTGTTTGTAAGTACGAGACGTACACAAGCCAGATGTTGGTAACTTGGGGACTGCCCGCATCTCATCCTCAGTGACCTGTCTTCTCTTAAGGTTCTTTGTATGAATATCTTGTTTCTCCAATTTAATAATTGAGAACACAAGCTATTGGTTTAGTGCTGTGCTACGTAATTAAATCTATATAAATGTTTAATCCTCGCAAAAAATACCCCAATTTAGGCACCGTTAATGGCTCTGTTTTTACAGACGAGGAAACTGAAGCCTGTGAGTGTTTCAGGCTGATGTTAAAATGAGCCAGAAGGCTTAACTACAATATTGCTGTTTTGATCAAGTCTCTCCCTGTCTGAGCTGCAGATTCCTGATCTGTCAAAAGAAGGGTTTGGAACAGATTCTTCCCCCTTCCTTTCTAGGTCGTTTGCTGTCTTGTTTGTTTGTTAGTTTTTAATGCATTGATTCATTCAATACATGCTTGCCATGTGCTCTGGGCCTGGCACGTTCCAAGCTCTGAGCATGGTGGTTCACTGAGTCAGACCAGCTGCCTCCTCCCGTGGGGACAGAGCTCCTGTCCCAGCTCTGTTTCTGATCAGTTTTCAAGGTAAATGCGCATAACCCACACTCACCCTGAGGAAGGTGGGTTTGTCAGCTTTGCATAAGCGTGTGAGTCACACAGGATCAGCAAAACAGCTACCGCCCCTGGTGGCAGGTGAACTGGTGGGAGGAAGAGACCAGATCTCCTTTTTAGTTGCACAAAAAGCTCTGCCCTCAGCCCCTCTCTCTGCCCCTCTTGTAAGGCAGAAAGGGGTTGGATATAAGGCCCGGGGTTGGGGAGGGGGTGCGGAAAGTGGTTTCCTCTTAGAGGCGGGGCCCCGGTGAAGCCGACCACGGTTATTCCTGGATTATGACTCAAAGCACACCGACAAGAAGCATTTATTACCTCCAAAGTGGTGCCGGCTGTGTAGTGCTGAATGGAGGGGTGAGGTATTGCAGCTGTTATCTTTTGAACTAACTGCTATTGCGTGTCCCATGACCAGCCGTGGCAGGGTTTTTGTTCCCATGAATGAATGGGCTATAAATCTGTCGGAGTTGACGCTAGCAGCAGTACTAGAGGGTATAAAGAGAAAATGTGCAGAAGAATCTTGTGGTCTTGGCTTGCCTGGAAAATGAGTTCAATAAAATGGAGGTGATCAGTGCTTATTTATAGGGGCAAACTGATACATCCAGCATTGGCCGTCAGAACCTAACTTACTGTTCTCTCGCTTACACGCACTCTGTAAAGCACATCGCCGCCCCCCAGGGCAGCTCTCTGAGCTCCTGGCACCTGCAGGGTGGTCGGAGAGAAGGTGGCACCTGCAGATGAAGGGGTGCTTGCCTCTCTCTTTAAGGCCCGGGAGCCTTCAGAGGGTCCCTGCTGGAGGGGTTCCATTTTGAGATTTGTCACAAGCAGGAAAAAAACTCAAGGCCGTGAAAATAGTTCCTTATTTACATTTCAGGTTTCCAGGGTGAATGGCAGGAAATGGGATACAATTAATCGCCATTTTTTTTTTCAGGCCTCTGAAACGATAAATTCCAGAAACCCATAAATTTGGGGCTGGGTTAAGTGCTGAAAACAATTTATTGCTCATTTTTCCCTTAATTGCATTCCCAAGAAGAAGGTTTGGTGTTTCCTGGTGGAATTATTATATAAAAATTATTCGTTAGAAAGCACAATGTGCTGTAAATCACAAGCTTACCTGAAATGGGGGTCAGGGGTCCTCACAATTCCTCGTGCCCCCCCCTCAACCCCACTGTCTCCAGCAAGGTCCTCAGAAAATAAAATAAAAGGGTCAGGGAAAATGTCCCTTTGCCCCTCCCCGCCACCCTGCCAGCAGGTTGAGTGTTGATTCAATAAGACGCCGCACCTCCGAGAAGGGATGGTGTGAGTGGCGTCTGGAACGGAAGCTGAGGGGCCGTAATGGAATGATCACCACGCGGCCTCCCTGCCTCATTTAATTTGTTTTGAGGCTGCCAGCCGTGTCAGACTAACTGCAGGTGCGGCTGGCCAACAGCTTGACCCCGTTGGTAGAGAAAGTTGAAAGATGACGGTACCGTGTCGGAAACTGCCGGGATGAGGTAAACATCCGTACCCATCTCACCTGTGGTGCCGGGAGCCATGTTTGGGGCTGAGCTTCCTCTGGCAGGCGGGGCCTGTTGGGACAAGTCTCTCAGAGCTGGTGCTGGGCTCGGGAAAGAGGTGAGAAGCTGCCTTTGCAATGAGGGGAGATTTCTTATGTCTCTGTTCTTTCTCGGGAATGCTTGGCTTGAGTGGAAATGGTGGGAGGCACCTGCTGTCTGTCTTCTTTTGGGCCTGGAGGAGCCGTGGGTGGGAGCTCACTAGTTTGGATCAGTCTCCAGGCACTTTGTAGGCAACGGGAGGGTCACTGATTTGCCTGACCAAGCCACCCAGGAACGTGACCTGGCCGGAGCCTGTGCTCATCTGGGAGCTGCTATAGCTAAAATTGCAGTTTGGGGCCAGGGCTGGGTTTGAACTTGCCACCTCCAGCATATGGGGCTGGTGCCCTACTCCTTTGAGTCACAGGTGCCACCCTATAGCTAAAATTGCAACTAACTTCCTTTCCTCCCCTTCCCCTCCCCTTTCCTTCCCTTCCCTTCCCTTCCCTTCCCTTCCCTTCCCCCTCCCCTCCCTCCTTCTCTCCCTCCCTCCCTTCCTTCCTTTCTTCTCTTAATTCCTCTCTTTCCTTTTCTCCCTCCCTCCCTTCCTTCCCTCTCTCCCTCCCTCCCTCTCTTCTTTCTTCCTTCTTTCTTTATTTTTTGAGAGAGAAAAATGGTAGAGTACCATGGCATCATCATAGCTCACAGTAACCTCAAACTCTTGGGCTCAAGCAATCCTCCGGCCTCAGCCTCCCGAGTAGCTGAAACTACAGGTACCCACCACCATGCCCAGCTCCATTTTCCCTATTAGGAAAAATAGGAAAATAGCTATTTTCCTATTTTTAGTTGAGATGGGGTCTCACTTCTTGCTCAGGCTGTTCTTAACCCCCCTGAGCTCAAGCAGTCCAACCACCTCAGCCTCCCAGAATGCTGGGAGTACAGGTGTAAGCCACTCTGCCTGGCCTGAAATTGCAGTTTTAATAGCTATTTGGGGATGGGCCAATGGGTGTTGAGAGTATTTAGAGAGTATTTAAATACATCTGGCCAGGCTTGCATGGATGTTGAGGCCGGTGGAAGCTGCAGGATAGAGGTGCCTCTCTCCCTTCCACGATGGCACCTTTCAAGGCCAACAGTGGCTGAAAGGCTGGGAGGACCCCCCTGCCACATGTGGGTGCACCCAGGACAGCTGGCCTTGCACCGCTGGGCAGGAGCAGAAAGGCAGGAAGGGGCTGAG